CTAGAAACAGCTTTATTTTTCATTCATTTATTGAGTAAATACATTTCGTGTTCTGAGTTACCTCAGAGTTGAACTTTTGAACTCTTCATCTAAGCATATTTACTCCTTTTTGAAACTTTTTTTTTTTCCCTGTATGTTTTAAAGTATAATGTTTTCAGCATTGTGGGTAGTTTCAGGTGTCTATCAGCAGTTGTTTGTTATTCATAAGCACTCTTAGCGGGAAATATGCTAAATAATAGGCATTTCTGAATAGCTGGAAGCACATAACAAAAAACTCTGCATTAATGCTAAAGCCTGTCCAAAACGTAACATGTTTCCAGTGATGAGCGAGTAGGACGGACTATTTTGAACAACAGCATGAATTGTCCATGGAGGACTTTGAAGAGACTGTCTAAGGCCTTCAATTTGAGTTCCTCCTGAAACTGCTGAATACAGTTTATTACATTACAATTTATTATAATTTATACTATATTTATTTAGTAATATTATTTAATTTCATTTTATTTATTTTATTTTTTTTTTACATTATTATTATTTTATGTTCAGACTTCCCAGAGCTGCTGCTGACATACATTCTTATTAACATCACCAGACTCCTAATTAGCTTTTTTTCTCTTTCTCTCTCTTTCTCCTTCCTGAATGGTGACACCTCAGCGATCATCTTTTGGATTCAGACCATTTTGGCCCCTCCTGGGATTTCTCAAGTTGACACATTTCGTTTATCTTAACTGTTTGTTATCAACCATATGTGTAAAAATAGAACCAGATTTGCACCTACAGTTTTGGTGCAGTTTCCCATGACTGATTTCCCATGGATCTTGACCCCTTCTCCTGATTATAGAGAGAAGAGTGATGAGGGATGGGGATGAGAAAATGAGGCAGGAGAAGATCAAGGAAGCAGAGAGAGAGAACTAGAGACAGGGGCTGGCAGACCATGCTTCATGCAAAACACAGATGAATAATGTATCCTGCCTACCTAGAGTAATACAGATCCATTTCTCTGTCTCTTTCTTCCTCTGCCTGTAATGCTGTGGTCTGTAGGAGACCTTAATCAGGTAGTAATGACCTACTCTACAGTCTCATATGACCCCTGAGCCAGAGAAACGAACCATGGGGTCATGTTTTGGCTGGTTAGCGTTCCGTAACTATACCATTTGAACTCACAAAGGGTTCAGATGGTATAGTTAGCCATTCAGAATCCATGTGCATTCTGACATGACAGCATATACAACACATATATTGTGAATATTTCATTTTCATTTACTAAACTCTAACAATTCAATTTGAGTACTTCTGAATTTAAAGGAATAGTTCACCCAAAAATGAATATTCTGTCATCATTTACTCACCCTCATGTTGTTCCAAACCTTTTAAAGAATGTGGGTAGGTATAGGTAACCAAACAGTTGACGGTAGCCATTGACTAAAAATTAGCCATGGTCACTATATTATTCTTATTATTTTTTTTTTTTTAATATATTTTCTGTTTGACTGATGTATTTTGACAACGCTGAGAATACCAGTGTCTGAGTGCAGGTTTTTTTTTTTTTCCAAATTATTTATTTTTTAGTAAATATGTAAAATAAATATAAATGTAATTGATGAAACTGTTGTGCACATGTTATTTACTACACTCTCAAAAATAAAGGTTATTTATTGGCATTGGTGGTTCTATGAAGAACCTTTAACATTTCCATTCCACAAAAGGTTCTTTATAGTGGAAAATGTTCTTTAGATTATTAAAATATTTTTCACACTAAAGAAAAATATGATTCTTTTAAGAACTGTTCACAGAAAGGTTAATTATGTTATTGTTAGGTTATCATCACTTCAACCCCCTTTTTGTAACGTTTATTTTTAAGATTTTGGCTTGATATTGACATCAGCCATCAAAAAATCCATATTGGTCCACCACCATTTTAAATATTGCAGTTCAGTTTTGCTAAACTCTCAAAATTCATTCGAAGTCCTTTTTGAATTTATGGGAATTCAAGGTTCATTTACAGAATCTAGATGTCACACTGACACAGAACTAAAAACAGAACCAAACTCTGCTCCTGCATGAATGTGCCAAACCGTTTTGGCAAATATTTGGCAAAAAAATTTTTGTAAAATTACCCATGTCTCATGTATTCAGATTTATCATATGTTATCTGCAAGTTTGTTGCAAATAAATCATTGCTGAGTTGCATCATTAGCGTTACAGTGCTAAGCTACAGCAATAGCAAAATATTTTCTGCTCATAATATTCAAGACAGTGGAATATGCAGCTGTTTCTGTCTCACTAAAACAAGTGAGAAAATTAAATAAATCCCTTACCGATGCCGATCGGAAAAGAAATAAGCACCACAGCTGGCTGGCTTGCTCTTCTGTCAGGAAGCCTGTGGAGAGGCCCTTAGCAGCTCTCCCTCTCTGTCTCTCTCACTCACTCCTTCTTGTCCTTCTGGTTCTCTCATGAAAGCTACACCATATCTGGATGGGCTCTCAAATCAGGCTAATTGTGGCACGCTGCAATTAGCAGTGAACAGAAAAAAAAGGTGCTAAATTTGCAGAGTTGAATCGAACTAGATAACCGTCGATCTCTATTTCTCTCATCAGACACCAATCTGTGCTCACCGTGTCCTAATGATGCACTAAATCACATCTTTCGCATTTGAATCCATGACTTCTGTGGGTGTTTGCTTGCTATTTTCATAATTTCTCCTTCAGTTATAGGACTTAAAGGGATAGTTTCCCAAAAATGAAAATTCTGTAATTAATTACTTACCCTCATTTCGTTCCAAACCCATAAGACCTTTGTTCATCTTCGGAACACAAATTAAGATATTTTTGCTGAAATCCAAGCGCTTTCTGACCCTCCATAGACAGCAATGCAACTGAAACATTCCCAGGCACAGACACGTAGTGAAGCCATCGTTAAAATAGTCCATGTGACATCAGTGGTTCAACCGTAATTTTTATGAAGCTACAAGAATACTTTTTATGCGCAAAGTAAACAAAAATAACAACTTTATTCAACAATTCTTCTCTTCCTTGCCAGCGTCCGCCACCATTAATATTATTACGACGCATGTGTGTGCATTCCTCTGCTCGTAAACAAGGCACAACCAATGCATGTTCTACGTCAGCAGCACCACACGTATGCTTCATATATAATCAATAAAGTTATTTTTGTTTTCTTTGTGTACAAAAAATATTCTCGTAGCTTCACAGAATTAAGGTCGAACCACTGATGTCACATGGACTATTTTAACAATGTCCTTACTACCTTTCTGGGCCTTGAACGTGGAAGTTCACTTGCTGTCTATGGAGGGTCAGAAAGCTCATGGATTTCAGCAAAAAATATCTTAATTTGTGTTCCGAAGATGCACGAAGGTCTTACAGGTTTGGAACGACATGAGGGAGAGTAATTAATGACAGAATTTTCATTTTTGGGTGAATTATCCATTTAAAAATTACTTCACACTCAAAACTTGCCTGAGGACACAGTGTTTCTCTTCCATCGCATTATCGTTCTTCTCCTTTGCCTGTTACATCACATTCTAACATTTTTCATCTCTCCTAACGTCCCATTGTCTGGCAGCGGTGGTGCTGGAGATGTTGACCTCTGATCTGTGAGAGTCATCACTTCTTCACTTTAAATAAATACAGATTATTCACCTATCATGTCCTCCCCAGAGTTGTCTTTATATATATGTGTGTGTGTGTGTGTGTACAGTTTTTCATTAGCTCCCCTCCCTGCACAAGGTGATCTGTTATTGCCTGTCTAACCCTGGGGTGCCGTGATGGATGTCAGTTTGTGAATTATTTCTCACTGAGCTAAACCTTTATTTAGTCTTCTGCTCAGATCATAGTAAGCAAGGGCTCACAAGTGACCCTTATCTTTTGTTTTTAGGTGCGTAGGGGACGTCCTGTGTATGTTGGGGTCTCTTATAAAAACTCTTGGGGTGGGTTATTTTGACTTGGGCTATAGCAACATGCTACTGGACACCTTAAAAAAACCTACTACTATGAAAGCCATGAAGGACGATGTTACATTTTCTGTGAAATTTTGGCAAAATTTTGTTGACAAAAAATATCCGTTGTCTGTTGTAAGTATTGTAGGAATGTATGAAGTGACATTCACACAGAAGTCACTTTCAAACAAGCAGGTTACTGTTGGTCAACAAGACAAATCTATGTTGCCAAATCCATTACAAAATATTTTCCCTCATGTGACATTCATAATTGCATGGTTTCCTAATGAAATGTCTGGATTTCATTCAACTGAGAGATGTTTTTTGGAGAAAAAAAAATCACAGCAAATGAAGCAAGTGAAAAATATATATATATATGAAATGGAAACTTTAGTTTTAATCTATCTGATTTCTGATGAGTCCTCAATTCCTTCAACACCTCCAGGCAGAACTCCTGCCACAAAAGCTGCTTATTGTCATCTGGTTGCTTTTGAAAACAGACCTAAATCTTTATTCACAGATCTTGTGTTTCTGAAGGCATGAGTTTAGCAGTTGCCTGCTCTCCTCGTGTGTTTCTGACTCAATTCTGATTTAGTGTTGAATGATGCAAGTAACTTTCATCGCCTTCTGTACTTTTCACCCACGTTTAGATGTAAATAGCTCTCTTCCACTTTGCCTTTCTGGAACAACTCTTCTAAAAACCAAACCACATGATCTGGGCTTCAGCAAAATGCATTATAGCCAGAGGTTGCGCTACAAATAGTCATTATCTGTCACTTTGACTGACTGGGTTGGATATTTTCCGTCATGCTCTATTTTTAACTGTCAGTAAACCATTGTAATGCTTGGTATTTTTTTATGTGGCATTAATAATATGCAAACTTCTGTGGAAGAGCTCATTTACTCTTCCCAAGTGCTTTTATGTCGTCGTCTTCACTCTTTTTATTCACAGCTTCATGTAGAGTGCTCGAGCAAAAGATTGATCGCTCCATATGTTTCTGTGGTTGTGACTGTCTCTCACACACTTTCTGTCTGTCTCCTCCAGGAGGCCAGGGCCAGTTCCCTATCGTCCAGAACATGACTGTGACAGAAGGAGGAATAGCCAACTTGACCTGCCGTGTGGAACACAATGACAACACCTCCCTCCAGTGGTCAAACCCTGCACAACAGACGCTATTCTTTGGGGACAAGAAAGGTGAGTGATCAACACTAAACTCATGTCTTTGTCTTGTGTGTTATTAGGTGGACGATGAACCTCAGCTGAATGAGATTTTAATAGAGGAACTTTAAGGGATTGTGCTTTTTTTACTACTGCTTAGATGGGTTGTGATGACAGATTGCTGACAGCTAGTATATATGTGAATTCTGTTCCAAAACCTTGTAAGCTCTGTTCAAAGCATTATAAATCATCATAGGTACACAAAGTCTGTTCCAAATGTCCTCTTGAAAGAGCTTTCATATCACAATGAAACCTATAATGCCTTAAAATGATGTATTTAACTTAATTATGCTACCTCCTAAGATGTCTTGTTTTCAGACTAATTATATTATTTTAAGGCAAATAAATCCAAGACGTGGACAAGTTCAGAGAAAAACGAAATCCAAGATGGCGGACAAGCTCAGTAAAAAAGTAAATAAATAATCAAATTAATCGAAGACGGCAGAAAAGCTCAGTGAAAAAAAAAAAAATATGGCAGTCAGCTAACTGAAATCATAAATGCAACATGGTGGATAGGTTTAGAGACAAATAAATAAATCCATGATGGTAGAAATAGAGATGGCAAACAAAGGAAGACAACTTACATTTATAAAGTGTTATTCATACTGAAAGGTATCAATAAAAATTGTGCAAAATATTTAGAAATTTGAATGGGCCATGTATATTTATGATTATTAGAGTATTTCAATATTATTCTCACTCTCTCTCTCTCTCTCTTATTTCTCATTTCATGACTTTTAGCCCAGCTAATAGGGAACGTTTGCACAACTTACACTAACGTTTTCTAAAGGTTATGTAAATGTCAAGATAAAACATTCCTAAAGTAATATTTATAGAACATTCTTATAACATTTCAATTGAACATGCATTCTCATCTCATTGTTGAGAGAACTCCGCTGTGTGTGATGTTATTGATATTTGCTGAATGTTAACGTACTTGGAATATTACATATAAACAATGTTATACTTTGAGTATAGGAGAAAGTTGTACTAACTTTTTAAATAATGTTCTAAACCACAAGAAAACTGGACATTTTAACATTTTAGAAATATTGTAAATCACTGTTCCCACAACGTTTTCAGAACATAGATTTATTGGGAGGGTGTTGCCTTTGAAGGCTATGTAGGCAGTAGGCAATGAGGAAACTCACTAGGTTTTGGAAGAAAGTTTCAGAATCACCTTTTTATGTACAAAGATTTACAGCTGTATCTCTTTGTCTGAGATAAAGAGTGGAATACATCATCTAGATTTTCTTCCACGCTGCGCTGTATGTTGTAAAATGGCTTTGTGTTCACCTGTTGTATGATTGGTTGGCTATAAATTTCTGTAGAGAATCAATATTGGTCCGGGCAAAGCTTTATAAGACACACTTTTACCGGTAAACACCCTTAATCAAGAGCAGATGAAAAATCAACAACTAGACAATCTCCCGGACTCCCACACATACAATCATGAGAGCGCATGCACGCACATACATGAGAAAGTGGGACAGCGGGTTGATTAATGTTGTGGAATACTAACAGGTTACATTTGATAGATGAGGTATGGGAGGTGAATCATTTAAAGGACTCTCCACTGCAGCATTAAAGATATCTACTGTTCCCAGATCAGATCAATACGGAACAGAAGTGTTATCGCAGGCTCAGCAAATGCCCTGTTTATTATGTCAGCAGAGCTTTTCGTGTGGAAGTAATCATGGGACATGTTCGATACACCCGGCGGATTGGATTTTATAATGATATTGTGGCTCTCCATCTGAGAATTCCCCAGGTCGTATGTACGAAGATAATAAATGTCCTTTGATTTATAAAAGATCCATGTGTCAAAGATAGCTTAGTGTTTCCTGGCCCACACAGACTCAGACGTGAATAGCGTGATCAAAGAATACATGGAAGTAGAATAACAATTAGCTTTGAGTGGCTGATTTATGCATTCAGGTGATGACTTTGTGTTCAGAGGCAGCTGACTTCCATCTCTACATAGAGCTGCTTTATGCTGCCGTCTCCCAAACACTCAGAAACATGAAATCCAAATGAGTGATAGAATGTTCTCTCCAGTCCAGAAACATTTATTTTTGGCTTGTTCTTTGTCTTGATCAATTTTATCACCCAGAGATGAAAGTTCATCATTTAATCTGCCTCGCATCTGTCTTTCTTCTGTGGAATGCAAACAGATTTGTTTGACGTGTTCAGAAATTTCCGGCGACAAGTAGTTTTACATCCACAATAAAAGTGCAAATTCTGTGCAACTTGACAATCACAATAATTACATCTAGGGCTGCACGATTAATCAAAATAATCTCAAGATCTTTGTTTTCAGTGTCTCAGAGATTGTTTAGCATTTGAAAATCTAGACAGCCATAAGTTTTCTAATGTTATGGTTGTATTGTAAAAAAATATATATAATATAATATAATATAATATAATATAATATAATATAATATATTATATTTTTAATATATATAATTTATTTATTTATTAATATATATATAATTTAATAATATTTTTATAAATTGTTATTTTTCTTAAACACTCGACTGTTGTTTTACAGTCAAATGCTACAATAGTCATATTTCTTATTTTGTTTAATATTTTAATGTTTTTGTAGTAATAGTAGTAATATAATGAAATAATATTTTAAATTTTTATATTTAGTATTAGTATTATTAAACACTAGATTGTTTTATTTCCAGTCAAATATTACAATAGTCATATTTAATATATTTAATTTTTTTATTAGTGTTAGTAGTAATAATAATAATAATAATTATTATTATTATTATTATTACTACTACTACTACTACTACTACTAGTAGTGCTGCTACTAATACATTGATATATAATCACACATTTTTATCCACATTGTGCAGCCCCCATACAAGCACATAAACCTGGAGGGTTTATAGAATTTTTCACAAAAATCTAAGTTACCTTTTTCCTTAAATCCCAGCCAATCAGAACATATTTTGTGTTCAATATGCAGTTCTGTGGAGCAGGATTTTACCCAATAAGATTTCCCATGGGGTGGGGCATTTGAATACCTGAATTTTTAAGGGAATCTTCTGGTTTCAATACAATCATAATGATGATCACCACAGAATTTTTTTTTTTTTTTCAGTTTGCCCGTCAGTGATTTTTTTTTTTTTAACCGAAAAATTAACATATAAATGTTAACATATGCAACACACAATGGAAGTAAACAGGACCATCATTCCACAGGGTTTAAAACCAGACATTTAAAGCTCATATTTTTCTTAAAACACTCACATTAATTATTATTGTTTATTATTTGAGCTGTAAAATTGTCTGTTCTTCTACACTCCCGTATGCTTTCATTAGCTGTCGTAATACCACATTTATTATTAACGCTTGAATATTTCGTGTCACAGATGATGACAGTGTATTCGTCTGCTCTGTAATTTAACTCCTCACCTAGGCCCAGCACTCATCCACACCTGCCTGTTTTTCTGCATCAGTCTAAAGTTAATTTGTGCAGATATGCTCTCATGTGGTGCCAGCACACCATTTCCCACAATTACATTCTCCTGAAGCTGGTTCTGTAGGAGGATTGGCCAAGTGGCACCTGCGAGGACGTCCATGTGTGTTTTTATCCATGCAGGAAAGGAGGGTTGTTTGGATATGCTGGGTTGACGGCAATGAGGTGTGTAGACCAAGTCAACTGCAAGAAAGTGCTTCACATGCCAGAGTGATGGCTTAATTATTAACACTACGAGCTTCAGATCTGACCGAAAAGTTTTACATTTGGGAAACAGTGTAATAAGAAACACATCAGGAGCAGAGAAGAGTTAGCGATAACAGGGGGTTGTAAAATCCACCTGCTAGGGATGGCATCTGATTTGATTTAGAGCTTGGTGCAATCTAGCTGAACCAGGAGGAAATGTCTCTAGTTTGTGCCAGGGGCTGGTTGAATAGTTTATCCTTGCAAGTTGTCAGTCTATCTGATCTCACTGCAGACAGAAAACATCAATCACTCAGTTACTCACAAATTTAATTGTCTACACCATATAGATCAACCTACCGGTCTATTGTGTTTCAGTTTTGGCTCTTCTCAGCAAAAAATTATTCTTAGTTCTAGAAATTAAATGCCTGTTCATACCAAGATGAATGTTTGGTCCAAAAATTCAGTGAGATAAACAAGAAGTGGGGCTAGTTTTTTTTTTTCTGATAAAAAAAAAAAAAAAATTCAATTGTGATTTTAAAATGCAATTTGGGAAAATTACAGGTTTTCTTGCTTGTAGGGCTGCACCATTTGGCCAAGCCTTTGTGATTGTTACGAATTAACACAAGTAGGCAACAGGCAGCGGGTCCAAATGCAGTTCAAGATCCTTTAATGATAATTAAATGATCCACAGAAATAAGCATCCAAAATACATGGAACCACAAGGAGGTAACACTTATCAACAACTCACACCGACAATAGCAGACCAGGGCTTAATATACACAAACACAGGACCAAACAGGAAATGGAACACAGCTGAACCAGGTAGACACTAATGAAAACAAAGCATGATGGGAAATGGAGTCCATGACCAGAACAGGCAGGAACACAACAGGAACGCCCTCTAAAGCCTCACAGTGGTGCAGGCAACCGGGTGTGATATAGCCCCCCCACTAAGGGCGGATTCCAGACGCCCTACACTGTCAAAGTTCAGGAAGGTGGTGGTACAGAGTTGGACACAGGGGGAGGGAAGGAGGGCCAGGACCGTGGAGAGGTACGGGAGGCAGAGGAGAAACAGAGGGTGAAGACCACAGATGATTCCGCAGAACAGAGACCAGAGACCAGATTAAAGCCAGAGGTGGAGTTGATTGAACTGAAGGTGGTGGCCACGGTGGAATCAGTGAAACAGAGGGCAGAGACCAGATTGAGGCCAAAAGTAAACCTGATGGAGCTGCTTGACCAGAAGGTGGCGCAGATGAGACAGATGGCGGTCTGGGCGGAGCTGGTGGAGCACATG